CCCCCCCCCCGCCCCCCATACCTCTGTGGGAGGCTCCCGGGGCAGGCTGGCTCCGGTACCGCAGCACAACTCCGCCTTCCGGCCGCTCACGGCGCTGCCTCACCAGGAGCGTGTTGGCTTTGGAGCTGAAAGTCATGTCCGACAGTTTCCCGCACATCTTCCTCCACGTGAGCCTGCCCCAAAGCAGCAACATGTCCCCTAGGAAGTGACGGAGTGGTGAGGGTCCAGCACCCCCTGCTCTGGGAGGGCAGCACGACGGCCCTGGGGTAGACTGAGCTGTGGTCGGGCCCCAACCGTCCCACTTCCTGCCTTTGTGGCTCTAAGTCATCGGACACAGCCTCAGTTTCCTCATCTGCAGAACGGGGACAATCGCACGACAGGCTCGAGATGGCCATGATGATTATTGGGGGGGGGTGGAGAATGCACTTGGTGTATCCCGCTGGGAACAGGGCAGGCTGGAGTCCTGCTCACCAGTGCCCGAGGCCCCACACCAACCCGGTGGTGCGTGCGGCCCCAGACGTACCAGTGCTGCAGTTGAGGGAACTCTCGAGGACTTGAACGGTCACCACCTCACCCAGGGGCCGCCCGATGGCCACTACACAGTCAGCCTGCCCTGGGCCTCGCATGTCAATGGTTCCTGTCGGCTTAAGGTGCTGCCGGCCACAGACGCCTGGAAAGGAGGCAGGAGCACAGGAGAACGGAGCTTCAGGGCGGGGCGTTCCCCGAAGGGAGGCCCGGGGTTTTCCACGCTGGGTAGGAGACTGAGAGGTAGGGTGGCTGACAGCCTCCTAGGCCCAGCTGGAAAAGCATTCTTAGGTCAGGGGAGGGGCTGCATGGGTGCAGGCAGGGCACAGAGCCGCTTCCGGATGCTCCAGTGAGAGGGAGGCAGTGTGGACAGCAGCACGTGGCCTTGCGTCCCACAGACCTGGGTCGGATCCTGTGAAACCTCAGGCTGAGGGTAAGGAAAGCGAGCTTGCACTCGGCCAGCAGAAGCAAAGTGGAAGGAGAGGGCCAGCCTGGAGCCCCACCTCCCAAGGCCACGCCTTCAGCCCCCGCCGGCCGCACCCAAGTGCTGCTTTGCAGGATGACCCCAGGAGGTCCCCACAAGGAGGCTGTCCCAGCTCTCCCAGCTGGGGACGGCTTTGCCCACCCTTCCCACAGCCAGCCAGTGCCCAGACAGAAAGTTGAAGGACATAACTGGACACAGCCGGGCTTTCCTGGGGCCCAGGCAGAAGCCCCTGAAGCCGGGGAGCTGGGGAGAGGAGGTGGGCCTGGGGCCGGGGCCGCTCCGGAGGAGCACCAGCAGTGGCTTCCTCGGGGGGCGCCGGGCTGGGGGTCCCCTGCCCAGCGCAGGGCCCAGCCCAGCAGCCCCGCACCGTGGCTGGCTTGGGCAAGTGCTGACAGAAGTGGGCTGGCACCAGTGCCTGGGACCCGGGTCCAAGGCAGTCATCGTGCCGGTGCTGGATGCCGTCTCCGCAGGAGACAGAGCACTGCCGGGAGACAAAAGAGGGAGTTGAGGCTGACCTCGCCGGAGGGCGTCGAGGACAGCAGTGACTGCTGGCCAGGCACGATCTGATCTCATCTGTGCACAGCCCGGGGGGCGGGCACACGTCTCCATTCCACGGGTGAGGAGACAGAGGCTCGGAGGGGTTACCTTGCCGGGTCACGGCACCAGCACCCCCCCTGCCCTCCTGCCCTCGTCTGAGCTCTCGTTTCCAGCAGGACCCGACGCCCAGAGTCCTTGTGCCCAACGCCGGCGGTGGCTGTCTGCTTTGCCTCCATCCCCCCCTCCCGACCGTGAGCGAGATCTTCCCTCAGGAGACCTAACCACATCTACCTTTGTCTTTCCACTACCTTGCGAGGTGACGGCGCCAGAAAGGCAAGAACGGAGACCCGAGTCACCTTCCCCTTCGTGGCCTGGTGTCTCCAGACCTCGGTCCAGACCCGCCCCTCAGGTCTCCAGGCCTCGCCGTGTCTTCTGTCTCTAGATGCCCTGACTACTTCCTCCCGCCCCAGTCTCCCCCTTCCTTTCAGGGGGTCACGATGAATCCAAGCCCCCAGGTCCCTGCGTATGAGGACCCTCGGCCGACGCACGCCCCAGCTGCCGTGCTCACCTGTGTCCAGGTGCTGACACGCCACCGGTAGGCGCAGTCGGCGGTGATGCAGGGGATGCTGGCCTGAGGCCGTACCAAAGCTACACAGGCCGCCCCGTCCACCTCGACGTCCTGGCCTTGATCGAACTGCACACAGGCCACGGAGCGCGTGGCGGTGCCAAGGCCACAGCTGGCTGAGCATGGTCCAAGGGACACGATTTTCCACCTGCGAGGACAGAAGACCCCAGGGTGCAGCCCCGAGCCCAGGAAGGGTGGGCCCTTCCCGTCCAGGGCTCACGGATCCTCAGTTATGCAAGTGACAGGGACGGGGGAAGAGACGCCCTTGGATAAGGGAGAACACATCCCAACGTCGGTCGGTCCTGCCCGTGTCGACTTGTGATTAGCCTCAGCACCGCCTTGGCACCACTGACATCTGGGGCCGACGGCTCCGTCAGATGCGGTGCAGGAGGTTCACTCCACCCACTTGCCAGATGCCAGTGGCGACCCCCCTTCCCTGGTCACGGCCCTTAACGTGTGTCTCCACATCTGATTCGAAGGGGCACGGGCACCCCCATGTTTATAGCAGCGCTATCGACAATAGCCAAAGTCTGGAAAGAGCCCGAATGTCCACCGACGGGTGAATGGATAAAGATGTGATTTATATACACTTGCCGATGAAAAAGAATGGAATCTTGCCATTTGCAACAACATGGATGGCAGTGGAGGGTATTGTGCCAAGTGAAATAAGTCAGAGAAAGACAAATATCGTAGGGCTTCGCTCATCTGTGGAATTTGAGAAACTTAACAGATGAACATAGGGGAAGGGACGCAAAAGTAAGATAAAAACAGAGAAGGAGGCAAACCACAAGAGACTCTTAAATACAGAGAACAAACTGAGGGTGGATGGGGATGGGAGATGCGGGGGGTGGAGAAAATGGGTGATGGGCATGGAGGAGGGCATTTGTTGGGATGAGCACTGGGTGTTATATGTAAGAAGTGAATCAAGGAAAGGAAAGTAAAGGAAGGAAAGGAAAAGAAAAGAGAAGAGAAGAGAAGAGAAGAGAAGAGGAAAAGAAAAGAAAAGAAAAGAAAAGAGAAAAGAAAAGAAAAAAGAAAAGAAAAGAAAAGAAAAACCAAGGCTGGGCTCCTGGATGGCTCAGTTCGTTAAGCGTCTGACTCTTGCTTTCTGCTCAGGTCGTGTTTTCAAGGCTCATGAGTTCGAGCCCCTTAGCATTCTCTCTCTCCCTCTCTCTCTCTGCCCCTCCCCTGCTGTGCTCTCTCTGTCAAAATAAAGAAAGAAAAACTTAAAAGAAAAAATGTCTCTAGACGATGCCACATTGGGAGGCGAAATCGCCCCGGTTGAGAAACCGCTACACTCAGTGAAGGAACAGACAGAGAAATCAACAGCGAAATAAACGCCAGGGCGTAGCACATGCTATGAAGAAGAGGGCAGAGCCGAGAGTCATGGGGTGGGCTGAGTGTGCCATTCTGGAGTGGTGCTCAGGGAGGACTCCCCACCTCTCTGCTGCAGTGCTTTGAGCAGAGCCTGGACGAAAGGCTATCCAGAGAAGACCCATTCTGGCAGCGGGAAGGTAGCCACAGAAGCCCTGAGGCAGGTGCCATCGGGGGAGTAGCCAGAGCTCAGGGGTGTGTGCAACTGCCGTATAAATCCCAGATAAATTCCCATACGAATGACTGGGCTGCGTGGCCAAGGGACTTCAGCACAAGCCAAGAGACACCGGTGTGGGTGGTAAGTGGACCATAAAGCCACAGTATTTAAAACACTCTGACACGGGGACGGGTGGGGGAATTACAAACAACAGAAGCCGATAGAAAGCCCTGACACAGATCCCAATGTACACAAGGATCTAGGACATGATAAAGGGGCCGTCGGGGGAAATTCAGTGACTGACGTGGAGAAATAAAGCGTGCTCCCGACTTTGCGACAGACCCCAAATAGATGACAGGTGAGCTAAGCGTTTTAATTGGAACGAATTCTTATCCGTAACGGTGTATTTCTTTGAAGCCAAGGAGACCGACAGGAAGGAAACATGGCAATACAGCGAATCTATTAAGGCTGGGACACAGGTGTCTGTTCCCTTGTTTGGGCTCAGAAAAGCAGTTCGGTGGTAAAAACGCGAAGCTCCCGGGGCGCCTGGGTGGCTCAGTCGGTGAGGCGTCCGGCTTCGGCTCAGGTCACGATCTTGTGGTTTGTGGGTTCGAGCCCTGCGTCGGGCTCTGTGCCTACAGCTCAGAGCCTGCTTTGGATTCTGTGTCTCCCTTGCTCTCTGCCCCTCCCCCGCTCACACTCTGTCTCTCACTCCGTCTCTCTCTCTCAAAAATAAGTAAACGTTAAAAAAAAAACAAAAACAAAAACGCAGAGCTACAAAGAAGCAGCTGTGGAAGCAGGGCCGACAAACAAGGTG